GAAGGACCGACCGAAGACAGAAACACGACCCGAAAACCACCGAGGGGACAACGCAGGACTCAGGAGAAGGAGGAGGAGGAGGAGGAAGAGGAATAGTGCAAACCCAAGAGCCATCAACGATGTTGGAATGACCGAGCTCCCTCTTCTTAGGCCCCTACAACGGCTCGTTTCCATTGAGGGCACTGCCCCGTTGGAAGACAACCGTTTGAAGATCCTGAAGCGTGCCAAAACATTGTTCTCGGGATTTCAACGCCACGTATCAACCTGTCTGCTGCGTCTTGGCGATCAAGAATCGTGCCAAAACGCCGTTGTTGGGACTTCAACACCGCGAATCAACATAACGGTTGCGCCCGCATAGTCCCGAATCCTTCCAAAACACCATTTCTGGTACGCTGATCATGGAAATCCGTGAAAACCTTATACATGTTGAAAACGAATGTGCGCGGCGATGACGCGAGAACCACATGTTGAAAAGGAACCGCCCTCAATCCGTGAAACCCTTGCAAATGTTCACAACGAATGTGCGCGGCGCTAAGGCGAGAGCAACATTTCGAAAACGACCTGCTCTCAATCCGTGAAACCCTTGCAACTGTGTATAACGAATGCGCGCCGCGCTAAGGCGAGAACCACATTTTGAAAACGATCTGCTCTCAATCCGTAAAACCCTGGCAAGTGTTGAAAATGAATGTGCGCGGCGCTAAGGCGAAAACCACATGTTGAAAACGACCCGCCCTCAACCCGTGAAACTCTTGCAACTGTTGAAAAAGAATTGCGCCTTGCTCAGGCGAGAGCCACATTTTGAACACGAACCGCCCTCAACCCGTGAAACTCGTGCAAATATTTAAAACGGGTGTGCGCGGCGCTAAGGCGAGAGCCACATGTTGAAAACGACCCGCCCTCCATCTGTGAAACAGCTGCCACTTCTTAAGCTTCAGAATCGAAAAAATGGTGATGTAGTCTCAGGCGAAACGCCCGGCCCGCCCTAGAAAATTGCCTCGGGGGTGACAGGGAGAAATTATCTTTAAGGAGAAGGAATGGAGGAGGAGGAAGAGGAAGAGGAGGAGGAGGAGCAGGAGGAGCAGGAGGAGGAGGAGGAGGAGGAGGAGGAGTAGGAGTAGGAGGAGGAGGACGAGGAGCAGGAGGAGGACGAGGAGGAGGAGGACGACGAGGAGGAGAAGGACGAGGACGAGGACGAGGAGGACGACGACGATGATGAGGAGCGTATGCCCCCCCCACCGCTGCCCCCGAGCCGCGCCCGAAATGGCCCTCTGCCTCCCGCATGGGGGGGGGTGACGGTCCGCGCAGGACCACCCCCGGAGGGCGGGAGGGGGGGAGCTCGGGCGGCGGCGCCTGCGGCCCCCACGCCGCGTCCGCGGGCTGCCGCAGCTCGGCGACGCAACCGCGGTGCGAGGCGTCGCGGAGGGCCAGCATGGTGAGCCTTTGGGTTTTTCCGCTGCGCGAGCTCCTTCCTCGAGGCTCCATTCGGCGGCGAGCCCCGGGGGGAAAACGAGAAGGAGAAGGCCTTCTCGGAGGGCTCAGAAGTCCCCCGGCCTCTCGGAGAGGTGCCCTGAGCCTCCTCGGAGACGCAGAAAACCTCTCGGAAGGCGCGAGGACTTCTGAGAAGTCCCGCCGCCTTCTGAGAAGGCCTGCTCCCTTTCACTTCCCCCCCTCGCTCGCCGCCGACCCATAGCCAAGCGGGCCAGGCCGTGCCCACGCACGGAAGAGGGAGAGGAGAGAGGCGGCAGCAGCAGCAGCAGCAGCAGGAGGAGAAGGGGCAAGAGCGCACGGAGAAAGGGCAAGAACGCCCAGCAGGGTGAGCCTGTTGGGGGCGTGGTCGTCGTCGCCGTCGCCGCTGCCACCGTGATCGCCACGTCGTCGTCGTCGTCGTCGTCGTCGTCGTCGTCGTCGTCGTCGTCGTCGTCGTCGTCGTCGTCGTCGTCGTTGGGCTGGACCTTTCCCCTTCGGCCAGCGCGGAGGGCCCGCATGGGGAGCGTTTGAGAGGGTCGTCGTCGTCGTCGTCGTCGCTTTTCCCCCACCTCTTCTCGTCGTGGAAAGAAGCTCGACGAGCTGTTTTTTGGGCAGTGTTCGGCCTCCAGGGGCCCTCGCTGGGCCCCAGGACCCACAACAACGGCTCGGGATGAAACACCGACGGGTCGGGACAGCTGGGGACCTCGTATTCAAAAAGAAAATTCGCCTGACGAAGGACCCAACCATATGCAGCTGCGAGTGCCGCGAGGGAGATGAGACGAAGGAGGGGGGCAAACTGCGAGTAGACCACGCGGTATAGCCTTCTGCCACGCAACGTGTGAAGAGTGTGCCGCCATGAGTCTGAAGGACGCCTGCGAACGTCGCCGTTGGAGCCTTCCGTGGAGCTCCCTATGGGACCACGAAACGTGTGAGGGGTGTGCCGAAATCGGGCGGCGGAGCCATGCAAACTTTCCCACTGGGGCCTTAGGTGGAGCTCCATGTGGGGCCTCGAAATGTGTGAGGGGTGTGCCGAAATTGGGCGGCGGTGCCATGCGAACTTTCCCACTGGGGCCTCAGGTGGAGCTCCCTATGGGGCCACGAAACGTGTGAGGGGTGTGCCGAATTGGGGCGGCGGTGCCATGCAAACTTTCCCACTGAGGCCTTCGGCGGAGCTCCCTGTGGGGCCTCGAAACGTGTGAGGTGTGTGCCGAAATGGGGCGGCGGTGCCATGCGAGCATTCCTACTGGGGCCTTCGGTGGAGCTCCCTATGGGACCACGAAACGTGTGAGGGGTGTGTCGAAATGGGACGGCGGTGCCATGCGAACTTTCCCACTGGGGCCTTCGGTGGGGCTCACTATGAGACCACGAAGCGTGTGAGGGGTGTGCCGAAATGGTGCGGCGGTGCCATGCCAGTGGGCCTTACGTGGAGCTCCCTATGGGGCCACGAAACGTGTGAGGGGTGTGCCGAAATGGGATGGGCATGCGGAGAGCAGAGGCAGGGAGGGGAGGAGGAGGAGGAGGAGGAGGAGGAGGAGGAGGAGGAGGAGGAGGAGGAGGAGGAGGAGGAAGAAGAGGAGGGGGAGAAGGAGGGGGAGGAGGAAGGAAGGAGGAGGAGGAACGCGGGGCGCTGTCTCTCCAAAACGAGGACCCAACACCATAGGGTGGTGGGGAAAAACAAGACATCGGATGTCTGGGTCCTGCTCCCGTCCTCCAGGCGTGACCACTTACGTTGGTCCAGGGCACGACCCTGAGATCCTGGCGTCGGATTTGCCACATCGGCGATCTTGCCTTGCTTCGGGCCCGGGAGCCTTGAGAAATGCCACAGGGAGTTGGGAGCCAGGGCTTTAGTCGTGATTTCTCGCGATGCTGCAATTTGATCGCAACTTCGGTTCTCAGGGCCGCTTACAGCCCCCCAGGTAGTCCGGGCTGGCCTCAAAATGCCCCCTCAGGTGGTCACTGGCGCCGCCTCCAGCTGCGCCCCTGGGCCGCTCCGCGCCCCGCGGTTGGGATGTTGAGACCGCCCTGTACTACTCGGGGGGCCTGTTGAGGCCAGCCCGGCCTATCTGTGCGCAGCCAGGAGGCGTCATCCTCCCCCCTCGAGGCGTGGCCACGTACCCGTCGGTCGGAAGAAGTGGGTAGAAGCAGGAGGTAGGAAGGCGTTGCAATAGGATTGGGTCTCCGCCCACCCCTGAAGAGGAGGGAATAGGGAAACCCACTCGACTCTTGAAGTGCAGTGTGGGCGCAATCGCAAGAAACCCTCGCAAGAAACCCAACCCCGGAAACCCGCGCGCGAGGTGCACCCGAAGGAAAACCCGGAGCACCCTGAACGCAGCAGCTCCCTCCACGATCGCTTGGAGTCACCGCGTAGCGGGCGGAGCGAAGATACCCAGGGTACCCTGACGAAGCGCATCTGGTTTCTTGATGCGCGTCCTCACGGTAGGTAGGAAGGCGGCTAAAGTAGATTGGGATCTGGACATACAGAAACACCTACTTTCAACGGCTGGCGTGTGCCCTGGCCAGTGGCGCGACGGCAGGCGGCTCGGCGGAGAATGCTGGACCTGCGACCCCGAGGGCGAGGCGCACGCAACGACGGAGCGCCGTGGATGGCGCCGCCAGCTCAGGGCCCGGGTGAGAGGCGTCGCGGAGGGGCGTCGCCTCGTCGTCGTCGTCGTCGTCGTCGTCGTCGTCGTCGTCGTCGTCGTCGTCGTCGTCGTCGTCGTCGCCGCCGCTCCCTGCAGTTTCGTAAGTTCTCGCATTTTTCGGGACGTTTTCGCTGATTCTCGGCAGTTTTCCAGCAGCTGCGCCTCGCCGAGAACGCTCGCTGAGAAAGTTCTGGGAGTGCTCGGATCGTCCGGAACGGCCGCCAGAGACCTGAATTTTGAGCCGAAAACCACTGTCGTCGTCGTCGTCGTCGTCGTCGTCGTCGTCGTCGTCGTCGTCCTCGTCCTCGTCGTCGTCGTCGTCGTCGCCGCCGCTCCCCCACTTCCTCTCGCTGTAGAAGCACATCGCGGCGGGCGGTTTTTGGCGGTTCTCGGCCGCCCTGGGCCCGCTCCAGGCCCCGGGGCTGTTCAAAAACGGCTCGGGACGACAAGCCGGACCCAGGGAAGAGGTCCAGAGCTCTGGCGTCCACGTGGTGAATAATCACGACGTCGGAGTTCTGGACTGTTGCCTCGTCGCCGTCACCGCTGCCGCGGCCATCGCCACGTCGTCGTCGTCGTCGTCGTCGTCGGGCTGGCCCCTCCTCTGTGGCCAGAGCAGGTCGGGCGCGGCGCCAGCCTCTGATCGAAGGGTGCTTTCATAATGGTTCTTCAGGGTTCGTCGCCGCCGATGGAGCCGGCTCGAGCAATGGTTGGGCTGGGACGCAGCCCAGGTTTCGAAGAAGGACCTTCCTCATGTCTCATATGGTTCCGATGTGTGTTTGGAGCATGGGCGCAACCACGGCAGATGCTATTGAAGACTGGACATGGCACTGTCCTCTCGACCGAGATCCAGACTTGACATCCGTGGGTTGGGCACTTTTTCGCTAGCTCAGCCTAAGTTTCCACCAGGGCCTGGGAGGCCATCGAGGACCGCGTCCACTTCAGGATCTTGCTCATCTTCTGTGCGCCTCCAGCGTGGCCCGACTCCACCCGGCCCTTCAACTGGCCAAGCAAGCGCAGTGGGTTACCCGAGTGCTCCTGCTTCTACCTCCAAGCTGGCACCACGACCTGCGTTAAAACGAAGCCAGGACGAGGATAACACCGGGTGAGGATAAATCGAGAATCTCTGAGATCCAGCGGCTCTGGAAGATATCTCTCTGGGCGCCGCGGCCTTCTCAGAGCGTTCCGGAACGCTATGCCCTCCCCGAGCCGACCTCCATCTTATACCTCGGTCTGGCCGTATCCCGCTCCAGCGCATCCGGGAGGCGCACGGCTGCAGGGTCAGAGGGCAGCCAGCCCTCCAGCAGCGCGCTCCCGAGCTCCACGGGGTGCCGTGGGGCATGCCCCTCAACGTGCAGCCTGGACTTAGTCCGGCCAGCATGGTCAGTAATAGAAGGACCCCTGACCCTTTGGGAGGGGACCTCAGTTAGGAGGTCCCAAAACATTAGGGCTAGGGGGGAGGGGACCTGAGTTCGCAGGGTCAAAAACCTAGGGGGCATTTTGTGCAGATGTATCGGACCAAACCGCCCAGATTCAGTACCCCTACTGCAAAGATGGGGGACCTAAGTGAGGCCACGTCTTCAATATGTTCTTAGGGCTAGGGGTTCTTTCTCATCCTCGGTGACGGCAATCATGGTGCCTCGGGGATGATTGGCCCCGTCTGGATTTTCGCCGCCTGTCACGTGACGGTGCTCCTCTCCGCTTTGGCAACCAAGCGCCCTTGAGTTGGCTTGCCCCGCTGGCGTCGAGGCGATGATGTTGCTTTCCCGATTCGTGCAATGGAGATCCGTGTGCCGATTGTCAAAATACCGATTCGCAAGGTCCATGCAGAGGCACATCCGTTCTACAACATGCCGAACGTCTGCAGGGCATTCGTTAATCCGAGAGCGGCATATGTTGAAGGGTGTTCTGCAAGCCGCGTTGTACAAGCTGCGATGCGCAGCGGTACGCGAGTGGTGCCGAAGAGGGGCGATTGTCACCTTCAACCAGCCCCAGCGGTGGTACAGCACCAAAATTTCAATCGTAGCTTCAGGACATACTATTCCATGGCTTCCAGCGTCTACTGGGGAATACCTCCACCACTATCATCATCATCATCATCATCATCATCATCATCATCATCATCATCATCATCATCATCATCATCATCATCAGCAGCAGCATCACTGTCGTCGTCGTCGTCATCGCCATTGTCATCAACAGTATCATAACCATCAGCATCATCAGCAGCATCAGCATCATCAGTATCAGCAGCATCATTATCATAATCGTCATTACTATGATCCTAAACATGGTCCTAATCATCACCATCACCACCAGCACCACCATCATCATCAGCAGCATCAACATCAGCATCATCATCCTCTATATCATCATCGTTATCAGTATCGGCAACAGCAGCAGCACCATCATCATAACCATACGCCTCATCATCTCCACCACCATAATCACCATCACAATCATCGTCAGCACCATGAACTCATCATACCCATTCTCACCACCAAGAACATCGACCTCATCCTCAACATCACTATCAGCATCATGATCGCCATCATCGCCAAGATCAACATGATCATCATCAACAACATCATCATCATCAGCTTCATCAGCATCACCGTCATCGCCATCATCATCGTCATCATGATCAACACCATCACCGTCGTCATCATCATCACCATCATCATCCTCGTCCTAATCCTCTTTCTCATCCTCGGGAGCATCCTCGACGCTGCCGTCGTCGTCCTCACCATCACTATCGCCATCGCCATCCTCACCATCATCACCACCGTCATCGTCATCGTCATCCACCGCCTCCTCTGCATGCTGCTGGTCCTACCGATCCCTCGCGTCTTGCTCCTCAGCCTCCTTTTCCTGCTCCCTCTCCCCATTCCCCTGCCCGCCGTCCTCGCCCTCGTTCCATTCCTACTGCTCCAGCTTCTCCTCCCCCCCTTCCTCCCACTCCACCCCTTCCCCTCCTTTCCCTTCTCCTCCTCGAGTGGGGAGGGGGTGAGGGAAGGGGGGAGCAGTGGGAGGAAGAGCAGTGGCGGAGGAAGAGGAGACCAGAAAAGAGCAGGAGGAAGAGGGGGAGGAGGAGAGGGTGGAGGCAGAGGAGGAGCGCATGTGGTGGAGGGAGCCCCAGCATCTCATGACTGCTGGACGGTGGTGGAGGCTGTACCCACTGACCCCTGGGCCTGTCCACGACGCCAGGGGGCTGCGCGTTGTAGGTGCTCTGAGGGGTCTCCTGCCCCCCCCCCCCCAGCGCGGGAGCGGAGGAGCTCCGACTCCACCTCGCCTCCTGCTCCTCCCCCTCCTCCTCCTCCTCCTCCTCCTCCTCCTCCTCTTCTTCCACCTCCTCCTCCTTCCTCCTCCTACTTCCTCCACCTCCTCCTCGTCCTCATCCTCCTCCTCGTCGAGTCTACCTCCTCCTCCTCAGACCTCCTACTCCTCCTCCTCCTCCTCTTCCTCCTCCTCATCCCTTTTCCTCCCTCCTCCTCCTCCTCCTCCTCATCTTCCTCCTCCTCCTCTTCCTCCTCGTCCACTTCTTCTCCTCTTCCTCCTCCTCCTCCTCCTCCTCCTCCTCCTCCTCCTCCTCCTCCTCCTCCTCCTCCTCCTACTCATTCTCCTCCTCCTCCTTCTCCACCCCCACCCTCCCCTATCCCACTGGACGAGGCGGCTGGCCCGCCCACACGGCAGCCGCGGAGGCACGGACTGCAGACCGCGGACGCAGGGCAGGATGGGGCAGGCGGGGCGCAGGGCGTCTCGGCGGCCCTGGTGGGCGTCGCCGTCGCCGTCGCCGTCGCCGTCGCCGTCGCCGTCGTCGTCGCCGTCGTCGTCGTCGTCGACGACGGCGGTCGTCAGTCGCCGGTCGTTGGTCAATGGTCGTTGGCCGTTGGTCGTCGTCGTCGTCGTCGTCGTCGTCGTCGTCGTCGTCGTCGTCGTCGTCGTCGTCGTCGTCGTTGGTCGTCGACCCCGCCCGCTGCGGCCGCGCACGCACCCTCTCCCTTCCATTTCCCCTCCCATTCTCCCTCCCCCACCCCTCTCTGCGACGAGAGGGAGGGAGGAACGAGGAAAAGAATAGGAGAGGAGGGAAGGGCCTCCTCCTCCTCCTCCTCCTCCTGAATCCTCTCCCTCGTCCTATCTGGGCTCCTTCTCCGCCTCCTCCTTCGCATTGTCCTGTCCAGGGAGCAAGGAAAAAGGATGAGGAGGAGGACGACGACGACGAGGGGATCGAAGGAGGCGAGAGGTGGAGGAGAAGGAGTGAACAAATGCGAGATGTAGGAGGATTACGTAGAAAGACGAGGAGGCTCCAGGCGAATAGAGAGGATGAGCAAGAGGAGGAGAAAGAGAAGGCGTAGCAGCATGACCAGGAGCAAGAGCAAGATGTACTGCAAAAAGAACAGTTGAAGCAGGATGGGAATGATATCGGAAGAAAAGTCGGCGGAGGAGAAATATGTAGATGGAAGAAGAGGTCGAGGAGGTAGGGCGTAGAAGAAGGAGCAGGATCACCCCGCATGGATAGGGGAGGAGAGAGAGGAGGGAGGAGCAGGAGGGAGAAGGGAGGAGCAGGAGGACACCCAGAAGAGCAGAAGCAGCAGGACAATCAGGAACAGGAGCAGCAGCGAACTTTAAGAGCACGTAGGAGATTGGGGGCGTATGGACAGACACATGGCATGTAGAAGCAGAGGCCTGAGGTCACGAAAACGAAACCTCCGTGACCATCAAAAAACAGCAATGGCGGAGACAAACAACGATATAACGAAAACGCACCTACGGCGGCGAAGACGAAAGTACGGTGACGGACATGAAAGAACGCGAGCGACAGTGGGTTGGGAAACCATACTCTAGAATAATCCGAAGTAGGTGCGACACGCATCGAAACCCAGGTGGGTGCTAAAACAGAACGGCGCCGGCGAACACGAACAGTGAGTAACAAAACAACGAACATGCATTGATAGCACTCATCTTTGGCAACGAAAGCGAAGAGGGGATGAAGGAAAGGGGGGAGGAAGAAGAGGAGGAGAAGTAGGAGGATACGGACGAACTACGCAGGCTTCAGGGTTATCAAGGGTTCCAGGCTGCTGTAGCCAGGAAGCACATGGACAGGAGGGGCCTGCGTGCCTGTTACTAGAAATAAGCATAAGTTGGTTCCCCAGGGGGCGGGATTCGTCACCTGGGGGAAGGAGCAGGAGAGAGGAGGAGAGAGGAGGAGAGAGGAGGGAAGGAGAGAGAAAGAAGAGGAGGAGAGGAGGATGTGAGGAAGGAGAAAGAAGGAGAGAGAAGGAAAGAGGAGGAGAGAGGAGGAGAGAGGAGAGAGGAGGAGAGAGAAGGAGAGAGGAGGGGAGAGGCGGGCAAGGGGGGGAGAAAGGGAGGCGGACGGGGCGGACGGGGGAGGGGCAGCGGAAGAAGGGGGAGGAGGACGAGAAGGCCGAGGGGGGAAAAAGAGCTTGAGAAGAAGAGGAAAAAGGAAGAAGAGGAGGACGAAAGAGGAGGAAGTGGAGGAGGAAGAGGATGAGGAAGAGGAGGAAGAAGGAGAGGGAGAAGAAGAAGGGTGAGCAGGGGAGAAGGAGGAGGGGAAAGATAAGAAGGCGGGGGTGGAGAAGTAGGGGGAGGAGAGGTGTCCAAGAGAGCCCATGAGCCCCCCGACACCCACCAACCAACCTGCGTCTGTCCTCCCTTGCTCACGGACCGCCGCGGCATGCGCGTCCGCCCTTGGCTATCCGAGGACAGACCCCACGAGGGAGGGCCCAACCCAAGAAACCTACTCCTGGTGAACGTGGGAATCCTGAGGAGGCAACAACTGGGAGGTCTTCGCCAGTATCATTTAGGAGGATTGAACCCATTGTGGGGCTACTACGCAATATTGGGCTGTTGCTTGAGCGGGATTGAACGGGACTAAGCCGGATTTGGCCAGATTTCGGACCAAGGCCAATATCACAATTGGACCTCCCAAGAGATGCATCCGAAGAATCCCCCTCACCCCGAACCGGAGAAACAGTCCTCGAAGAAGAGAACAGGGAGCCTGGGAAACAGCTCCGCGAGCCGAGGAAACCCTGGCGAATCCAGGAGACAGTCCCCGGCGAGAGCTCGCAAAACTGCTCCGCTATCCATCGGGATCGTGTTTCCCGCGTGCAGCCCTCTCCTTTCCTAGCCACGGCTGCAAATTTCCCAGGCTCGCCGGGAACAGTTTCCCTGGGTTCGGCCCTCGGGTTCCCGAGGCAAAGATGCCAACGGGGCACAAGAGACTGTACAGCGAATGAGGACTGACAGCAGTCGGGCTCTGGAGAGGCGCAAGCACGTCGACAGTCCTGCGCAGAGCTCACGACGTGGTCTGAATTGTTCGGCTCCGAGCTCGAGGACGCAGCGACCGCTGCCTGCAGCGCGACCAGGCTTAGGACGCGGACACTGCCCCCTGACTCCATGCCACGTGCTGACCCCATGGCGATGCCGACTGCTTCCCTGTAGCTAGGAAGCGTAAACCCCCTTTTCCCGACTTTTCAGTGCCATGCGCAGCTTGCTTCAAGCTCAGCGGCAGATGTTGACAGACGTTGGTAATGCCTTGTGCAAGGGATGTACTCTTCGTCGCCCCGTTATGTCAATCAACATGATGACTTACGATGCACTTCAATTTCGCGTACATCCACAGAACAAAAAACTCTGACATTGTTCTGGATTGTGAAGCCCTTCCCCCGGCTCCCACGGACTCTAGATGAAATCTCCAGAAGACGATGCGAATTCCCAGAACCAGCGCAGCCCATTACCCTCGCATTAGTGCGCTGACAAGAAACTGTGGAAAGTCAGCTGCGGCACATCAGGAAACAACTGATGAACCTACGCAAAGGCAGTTCAAACAACAAACAGCCGCCGTGTGTCCTTCATACGACTACTCTGAAATATACGGTTCTACATACATATATAGATATTGCAATATTGCGATCGCTGAATAACCCGAACGTGAATCGTGACATTACATAAATGTCGGGAATAAGTGTTTGGGACGCAAAACCAAAGTCAGCCAGCACGTGGTTACTTGCGCGTCTTCCCCAACAACAAGAGAACGTTTACTCAGTGGGTACAGTCCCTCCCCCAGCCAACAGTGAGCTGAGCGCGACCACGCAGGCGCCTCCACTCGAAGATCAAACCCCCGTGCCGAGCATGCTCAACGAAATCCAGGCTCGCCCGCTCAAAAGGGCCAAAGACGTATGAGAGGTTTCATGCCACATCTGCATCTGGAAGGGCCGAGGGACACACAAATAGATAGACACAACTCCTAGGATTCCCTATCTTTTCCGACATGTTCTGGATGTTCGTTTTGAAACGACGATTATGTGTGCCCGTGATTTGTTCCCATCCTGAATGTCTCAGGGCATGACGTGCTGGCCTACGACGTGCAACATCTCGGGCCAAGGGCCCCGCGGAGCGTCCGAAACCGGAACTCGCAACCCAGAATTCAACTTCCCGGGGACGTGCCAGATGGATTTTGTCGGCGGCTCGCACAAGGGGGTACAAGTGTTGCATGTTGAACCTCACTCGTTACAAGTTGAACCTGCACTACGATATTGCATATATGCAGGTTCGTAGTGCTTTGTTTTCGACGTCTTCTCCATCCTCATCATGGTGATGATGTTAAAGGCGATGATGATGATACTGATGATGATTATGATGCTGATGCTGATGATGATGATCATGCTGATGATTATGATGGTGATGCTGATAATGATGACGATGATTGTGATGACGGTGATGATGAGCATGACGGTGACGATGGTGGCGATGATAGTGATGATGGTGGTGATGCTGATGGTGGTGATGGTGGTTTTCAGTGAGAAGGGCACGACAATGGTGGTGATGACGGTGGTGATGATGATGGCGATGATGACGGCTGTCACATAGAGGAAGCCGTCCTTGCAGCTATAGGTAAGGCCCGCGCCTTCTAGGAAGCAGGAGCGCTTCCCAGAGGCCTTCCGCCCTCCCCCTACCCCCCTCTGCGCGTGGCTGGTCATCCATGCTTGGAGATATGGCGAATCCCTGCGCCCCACTTTGACGATGCCTGGAAGTTGTGACATCCGCTAGCGACGCTCAACTGCCAGTGGCTCGATCCGCTCAACTGCTGTTGGTTCGATCGACCTGCGAGTAAAAAACAGCCTGTGCGCAGCTATGCAGAGGCCGAGGTCCTGTTTTGAGAGGTCTCTTCTGGCTCCTGAGTCGCTGCAGGAAGGCACGACAGCGCAAGTACAGCCGACAGTCCCCTCGCGATTCGGCGTGCACGTTTTGTCGGCTCGGCGTTAAGGTCGTCCACCAGGCGAAAGTCTTCGGGCCATGCTAAGCCCTAGCCCCGAGTTGACAACCGCAATCGGACGTCGACCTCCCGAGCGAGAGACAGGGTCGAATTGCCCCCCCCCCCCCGCCGCTCACAGGGCCATGAAACCAGACGCCGCCCGCCGCTTGCGCCCCTGCCTCCCCGGCGCCGCGGAGTCCTGCCCCGCCGGCAGCACCTTTGCAGCAGGCCCGCTGTCCTCGGCGGCGCCGCCCGCGACCAGCGGGGCGGCGCCCTGCGGAGCGGCCCGCGCCGGCGCCTCTGCCGCGGGCCCGGCGCCCCTGGCGGCGCCGCTCGCGCCCTGGGCGGCGCCCAGCGGGGTGCCCCGCTCGACCAGGCGCCCGTCGAGCCTGGCGTCCACGAGGGCCCCGTAGAGCCCGGCCGCGGCCGCAGCCCAGCGCGCCTGCCCCGCCTGCGCGTCGGCCAGCTGCCTGCGGAGCTGCTCCACGCCCCCCGCGTCCTCCTCGCCGTCGGCCTGGGCCCAGGCGAGCCTGTCGACGAAGTCGCCGGAGCCCGAGCACTCCCTCATGGCCTGCCTCAGGGCGGCCTCTCGGCCGCTGGTGGGGATCGGCGTCGCAGGTGAGCTCTCGGGCGCCTGCAGCAGGCGCTGGAAGGGCTGGAAGGGTGGCAAGCTGTGCGCGAAGCCAGCGCACCGCACGACCTGCACCGACCCGATCTTAACACCGCGGGAGGCGTGCACCTGCGAGATACACTGCCGCATGCGCGTCTCCCAGACGCGCACGCGGTCGGCCTCGCTGCAGGAGACCGCCTTGCTGCCGTCGGCATTCAGTGCACAGCTCAACACGGTGCCAGCGTGGCCCACGTAGCTGCTGGCGCCCTCGCCGGGACCGCACGGCGGGCTGATCGAGCGCAGCTCCCCACATCCGCCAGCGACCAGGAGCTCGGCGCCGCTGGGGCTGACACTGACGCTGTGCACAGGCACCGGCAGCGTGTGCGAAGCGAGCGGCTTGCCTGTGCCCACGTCCCAAAGCCGCACGGAGCGGTCCAGGCTTGCAGACACCACGACCTGGTGAAGCCCACCTCCCGGCAGCAGGGCCACCGAGGTCACCGGCAGCGCGTGCCCGGACCAACTGTGCAAAGGCCTGGGCGCCCTCTCGGCACAGACGTCGGCGACAGCGTACACGTTCACGCTCGCGTCCGCCGAGGCCGAGACGAGCAGGCTCTCGTCCTGGGACACGACGAGCTGCGTGACCTCGCGGTAGTGGGCCGGCCAGCAACTCAACAGGGCCCCCGTGGCGGCCTGCCACACGTAGACGGAGCCGGAGGCGGCGCCCCCGAAGCACAGCGTCGCGTCGCCCGTGAAGGTCATGGCTGTCATCTTCTCGGGAAGACTGGCGCGGTAGCTGGGCTTCTTGTCGCCCCACGCCCACACGTGCCACAGCGCCTTGTTCGCCTGCACGGCGTGCACGTGGCCAGAGCTGCCCCCGACCATGCCGAACGCGCACGGCTGCGCGACCGACTCCTCGAAGGTCGCCACGAGGGCCCCAGTGTGGAGGTCGGTGGCAAATATTCCCTGGTCGTCGCTGCAAGCGGACAGCACATATTCCCCCATAGCCAGCACTGCAAACCAAAACTCTTCTGAAACAACAGGCTTGAGCCAAAATGGCTACGGAACACAGGGTCTGATTGCCGCCATGCTCTCGGACATGGACCCAAGCGGTGCCCAGCCCCAGTGGGGGACAGGGCAAAGGGCAGGTGGGTGGAGGCGCCGACGGCCACCCTCACACGCCAACTGCCCAGTCGTGAAAGGCCCCGCGGCTCGAAGTCAGCCTCCCCGAGGCCTGGCGCGGCGAGAAACGGTCGCGTCGAACGCCGCCCCGAGGACGACGACGAGCAGAGCGAGGATGGCGACGGGGCCAGCCCAACCCGGAATCGTCGTCGCCGTCGACGTCGACATTCGTCGTCGCTCGTCGTCGCTCGCCGTAGTCGTAGCTGATCGCGGCTCGTCGTCTTCGCTCGCCTTCGTCGCTCGTCGTCGCTGTCGCCGTCGTGCAGCGGCGCTCATCTTGACTCGTCGTCGTCGTCGCTCGCAGTCCCCGTCGATTGTCGTCGTCGTCGCTAGTCGCCTTCGCTCGCTGTCGCCCGTCGTCGCCCGTGGTCGCCGTCGCTCGTCATTGCCGCGGCGGCTCGCCGTGCACGTGGGGAAACCAAAGCGATACCGATACCGCGACTCCCCAGACCCCCCCCAAGGGTGTGCGCTCTGACCCGGAAGTATCGGGGCCAGCCGTGGCGGCGAGTGGGACGCAGAAGGACACACTGGCACTATGTGCTGATGTTGGAGGCGCACGCACGTCTGACCCGAACATGCAGTACAGTGAGGCTGTTGAAATGGAGAACGACATGCAAGGAACGAAGCTCCTTCTGGCCCCAGAAGCGTCTGCATGCACGGGGAGGGCTCGAGAAACAGCCATGGAAGCACCTGGGGAACATTGAACCCCCATCGAAACCCAACCTGTGACTTATGTCAGCGTCTTGACTGCGCACAAGTCTTACAGCATGTAGAGTGCCGAGCGGTATTGCCAGAAAGCGCCCGCCGCGGGGCTTCTACGGTAAGATTTCTCAGCGCGCGTCGCCCCTTGGGGGCCGACCGACGCGCACATACTATCCGCCGACCCCTGCCCCTCCCTAAACCCTTCCCACGGGGGCGCCGTCTGGCCGGTTTGGGAGGGGGGCGGGGGGGGGGGTGGGGGCAAAACGTGCCGCGGCCTCGACGGCCTCACAAATGCCCGTGGACGGCCTACACGGCTTGAGGCCCTCAACATCGGCCCGAGACGGGCCAAGAGGCCTCGAAGAGGGAACCTCCCAACGCATCGAAAGGCTGGATGGCCTGGATGAAACCGTGATCCCGTCGCTGCCGCCGAAAACCCAACGTCCATCAGGGACAATCGGCACTGTAAACTAAATCGTTTCTCAAACCCTCCTCCAGGAGGAGGGAGGAGCGGGAGGAGGAGGGGAGGAGAGGAGAGGAGAGGAGAGGAGAGCAGAGGAGAGGAGAGGAGGACGCGGGGCAATGTCTCTTCAAAACGAGGACCCAGCACCACAGGATGGTTGCGGAACAAAGTAGAACCAATAACATCACCCGCCGCACTCTTCGAAAACTTGCGCGCGAAACTGCCAAGCGCCAACGCTCGCGAATCGGCATGCCAATGCAAATTGGCGCGGCCGCGCCCGAATTGTGAGCACTCGGGCGCAATGCGTCCGCCCGTGCTGCCCTGCAGTTCTCTGTTCTGGGGCAGCCCAGACAAAACAAATCACGCCCGCGACCGCGCCTCGCACACGAACGGTGGAGGGCAGAACATTCAGGATGCCAAGAAAGCCAGAGGGCACGGACCTAATAAGACAGCCCGCCGAGGCGCCGCCTCCAGAGAGCCAGTGCGCGACGAAAGCCGGAGGGAAGTACCCTCCCCGACTGCCAAGGAAACGTAGGGCACCTGCAACCACCACAGATCGAAGGCATACGACAAAGAACACGTTTGAAGAGGAAAAGGGCAACTTGAAATGCGTTCAGGCAGATACAGGATAGGGAAGCAACTGAGAGGAAGCGGATATCACAGGACCCACGCGCCCTACTTTTGCAAACCTCCGCGCGGCACAGCCGAGCAGCCGCACACCTAGATCTACATTCCCCGGCCAGACAGAGAGCACCGACGGCAGCCTGACGAATGGCCGCCTCCAGAAAGCCCCAACACGACGAAAGCAGATGTTGAGTACACCCCGCGACCCCCAGAGAAACCCAGAACGCCTGCAACCACCGCAAGTCTGAAGCATGAGATGAAGCCCCGCCCCCAAACGTTAAGTCACAAACGTCGCAACCTTCGAGACAAAGCATCCCGCATTCAACCGCAACCAAGAGAAAGCGTCCCCACTCACCAGAGAAAACTTACTGGTCAAGCCCCGCATGGTTTCTCCGTTCGAACGAATCAGTCCCCCTTTCAACCGAAGAGAATTTCCCCCTCCGAAGCCAGATTCCCTGGTCGCCAGCAACATTTTCTGGTTCGCCTTTGCACCCTCCTCGTGGCTCGTCGTCGCTAATCGTCGTCTGCCGTCGGGGCGGGCCGGCCTGCACCGCCGCAAGCAACGCCGCGGAGAGAAGAAGGAGGAGGAGGAGGACGAGGAGGAAGAGGAGGACCAATCGATCGAGCAATCGGGCCGTTTTCGGGGCTACATCGCGGCTGCTAAAGCATTACAGCATTGATAGGAAAATGGGAATGGGGAGAAGGAGGAGGAAAGGGAGGAAGAAGAGGAAAATGAGGGGACGAACAAGAGGGAAAGCACCAGTGTAAACCCTAGACGCATCAACGATGATGCAGCAAATCCTCCTTAACAATTCCCCCTCCATAAGTCTCCACAAAAAATACTTCACTGCGGGAAGTGCCCCGTTGGAACACAACCGTGTGAGAATCCCCAATTGTGCCAAAACGTAAGACTTTACGCCGTGAGTCAACGTTTCAGTACTGTTGCGCCCTGACGACCCTGAATCGCACCAGAACGCAGTCCCTGGGACTTCAACTCCGCGAATCAACGTGACCGCTGAGCCCTGACGATCCCGAATCATGCTGGAAGGCTATTCCTGGAACGTCGACCACAAGACTCTTTGATACGGCTGAAAACACTTAAAGCGAATGTGCGCGGCGCTGAAGCGAGAGCCTAAATTTGAAAACCACGTGCCCTCCGTCAGTCAAATCATGCAGAATTGTACAATGAATGTGCGCGGCGCTAAAGCGAGAACCAAATGTTCAAAACCATCCGCCCTCCTTCCGCAAAACTCTGGCACATGTTTAGAGCGAATGCGCGCGGCGCTAAGGCGCTAACCAAACTTCGAAAACGACCCACCCTCAACCCGTTAACCTTTGAAAGAAAACGCATGTGCACGGCAATACGGCGAGAACCGCATTTTGAAAACGAATCGCCCTCCATCCGTGAAGCTCTTGCAAACTGTTAACACAAAGATGCGCGGCGCTCAGGCGAGAACCACATTTTGAAAACGGCCCGCCCTCCATTTGTGAAGCCCTGGCAAATTTGAAGCTTCAGGATCACAAGTGGTGATGGAAACTCAGGCGAAACTCCCGGCCCGCCCTACCGACACGTCTCGGGGTTTGACAGGGAGGCGTTATATATATACTATCAGGAGAGAAGAGGTGGAGAAAAAGAAGGGAGAGGAGGAGGAGACGAAAAGGATGAAGAAGAGGAGGAGGAGGAGGGGACGAAAAGGAGAAAGAGGAGGAGAAGGAGTGGACGAAAAGCAGGAGGAGGAGGGGACGAACAGGAGGAAAAAGTGGAGGGGGAGGAAAAGCAGGAGGAGAAGGAGGAAAAGCAGGAAAAGGAGGAGGAGGAGGAGGAAAAGGAGGAAGATGAGAAGGCAAGGCAAGGCAAGGCAGGCGCTCGGGGGTCAAAGAGGAGGAGGAGGAGGAGGAGGAGGAGGAGGAGGGGACGAAATGGAGGAGAAGGAGGAGGACGACGAGAGCCTGCACCGCCGACAGCAGCGCTGCGCTCGGGGTCGTCTGGCTCGCGTCGCCCGGCTCCCCGTCGCTGTCCGCGCCGTCGCCCGCCTCGGGCAGCAGGTCGTCGCCGGGGCCGGACGCCTGTGCCGCAGGCTGCCGGCGTCGTCGGCGTCGGCGTCGACGGTGACGTCGTAGCTTCTTAGTTCCGTGCTGAGCTTAATAGTCTTACTGCTAGCTGCAGCGCGGCCATTTCGTGGCGGCCGGCCTGGTTCATCGCGCGGGCGATCCGGCCCCCCCCTCCCTGGAGGGGCAACGTTAGGGGCAGGCTCGGGGGAGGAAACACCAGCCTGGAATCGGCGATGAATCGCCGGTGCGTCGGCGGTAAGCCCCTCGTTGGCGAATCCGCACGTTCCTGGGCGGGGTGGGGTGCCGGGCAGCTATCGGCGGTGGGTGGGCGATTGGGGGTCGATGCATCCACCCTGAGCCTATTCCTCCCTTAATGTTGCCCATGTGACCCCCATCACTCCTCCCTTCTCCTGCCGCCCCTCCCGCCACTCCTTGGACACCCTCCCCACTCGAAGCTTGCAGCCGTGCGTGGCAGCTCCAGCCCTTGGGATGGGAGTGGATTGAGGTGGTGTGGGCCGAGGGTGCGGAGGGAGGAGGATTGAGTTGCATTCTTGAGCACCCAGGGGTTCTAGCAAGTGCTGGCAAAGCTCCTCTATACTCAAGCATGGTGCTTGGCACTGTTGATAAGGTTGGGGGTCAAGTCTGCAGAACACCCCAAACGGACGTCAAGGGGCGCACCCGACCTGTTGAGTCAAGCTGAAATTGATGCACCATGCCCGGCGTCAAGCCAAAACTTTAGACATCAACCAATAGTTGGATTTTGCACATCTTCGTCGGCTTAACCGGCAAGGCGCTTGACCGCCTTGACGTCCGCTTTTTGGTGGTCCTGCAGAGGAAGACGCTCGCCGACCCTCGGCCCTACTCAAGATAAGTTTCTTCCGTTCTCGCCCTCCAGTCGCCATCTCGTCCCCGCTCGCCTCCTTCTTCAGTGCGGGGCTGACGGAAACGAGCTGCCGCCCTTGGCGCAGGCCCATCTTTCCACCAAGAGGGAGGGGGAGGCGTGCATGGTACGATGCTTGCCACACCTAGGCGCTGCAACATACTCTTGAATCTCTGCTGCTCACATCTGTCTTGCACATCTGGGCTCGCGCCCCACGCGCGCTACTGCAACACCAGGGCCTGACCTTCACTTATCAGGCGCTGCGCTCCGAACCGTTCTTTCTCGGATCGTTGCCACCAAGGCGCCAAGCCAACGTTTGTCCGATGTAGAAGAAGTGCACAGCGCGCGAATATCGCGGACATGCTGCAAAACATCCCCACCCCCGTGGCCCCGCTGGCCGACATACCTCCCTTATGTAGGAGATGCGTGCCGCCTCCGCCGGGCTTAGCGGCATAGATGCCAGCCTGGAAGGAATACACTGGGTAGGCTAACGTAACATGTACCGGTGGGGGTGGGATGGCTCTAATGATAACGACATGATGCCAAGTCGAAGCAGCACCCACGTCATTTGAATGAAGAACGACGCCCCTCTTCGTGCGACCCTTACTCTCACATGCTCGAGAACATCTCGAGGAAACACCTGGGAACTAATAAGGACACCCGGGCCCCTTCCAAACCGATGGCGGTCTTGTTCAATCGTTTTGACTTTCGGTTCAATGCTGGGGGCGAGAAGCGGGGAAGAAGAAAGGCCCGATGGCAAAGGAAACGGGCGGTGATGACATTTAATATATATATTTATGTATATATACATATATATTATACATATGCAAACATATATATATATATATATATATAAACATATATATATATACAAGACTGCAGTGGCGCTTCGCGCCATGCACCTTGGTCCTTGAAGATTGGTATGCAGGCGGAAATGGCAGGAAGGTCAAGCGGACAATTTTGCGATAACTCCTTGCTGCCTTTTCTGGCATCGCCATTATGATAATGTTGTTCATTATCCTGGCTCCATGCTGATTTTTCCTCATTATCGCCACACCCTGGGTATTCTCCCCATCCTCCTCAGCTCTTTTTGCGGAGGCTCCTCCTTGCAGAGCCCCTGGGGGCCTCACCAAAGTTCTCAGGCTTTTTAAAAACCTTCCGGGGGCCTCCTGGGCGTATTCTGGGGGCCTCTAGGGCTTCCTAAGGCCAACCTGCCTCTAATCGCAGTCTCCCTGAACGCCCCGGTCACGATTTGGAATGCTTCGGAGGGTGTCTTGGGGCAATCTTGGGCCGCCATGGGGCTCTCTCAGGGCCATTTTGGACCCCTGTTGTGCCGTTCTGGGGCTCTCTTGGACTGCCTGCAAGCCCTTTCGGATGGTTGCAGGGCGATTTTGGAGCCTCCCAGGCGACTTCGGACGCCCAGAAGACCGCTGTCTTGGAGCGTCGGGAAGCCGAAAAGAGGAGAACCCGAAATTCACCAAAAATCTACATTAAATCTATGATTATTCCCTCTTGGGGCCTTCTTGGGGGTGCTCCTGGAGGCCTCTTGGTACGTTTTGGAGCGATCTTTCGGGGTATGACGGCTTCTTGGAGCGCTCTTGTGCTGTCTTCGGGTTCTCTGGGACGTCTCCGATGACCCCCCTGATCGCCCTAAGTGTGCTGCGAAGGCTTGGCAAAACGCCCTGCGAGGCCCGGGGGGCCGCTTCGAGGCCCGTCCGAAGGGCCCCAAAGCCCCAGATCCCAAGAGTCCGTTTTTTTGTTTGGGGGGGGGGTGACGGGTTTTCCCCCCGCCTGGGCTTGTAAAAATATAGGAAGAGGAATGTGTATCCCGTGCTGATCCCGGTTGTTTTTCCGTGTGCTGCCCCGCGGTTGTCCCGTGGTTGTCCTGTGGCTGCCCCGTGCTTTGTCCCGATATCGGTGAGCGGGTGGACCCGCGGATTGTCATGTGGTTGTCACGCGGCTGTCCCGCAGGTTCTCCCGTGGGTTGCCCTGCGGGCTGTCCCGAAAATTGTCCCGTGGACTGCCCCGAAAAAGGTCCCGTGGGCTGTCCCGCGGTTGTCCCGTGGTTGTCCCGTGGTTGTTCTGCTGGAAGTCCAATGGAATATCCCGCGGCTGTCTCGTGGGTTGCCTCATTAGATGTCCCATGGTTGTCACGTGATTGTCCCGTATGTTGTCCCGTGATTGTCCCGCGGGTTGTCCCGCGATTGTCCCAGGGCTATCGCGGGAAATGCGAACCGAAAATGAAGCCGAAAAGCAAGATCGGAACACACATGAAACTTCAAATAATAATGAAATCATTATGCAACTCCGAATAGCATTCCGATGTCGAATCAAAAGGCGAATATGCATTCAAAACAAACGAACAGATCGAACCACGAATACGTTAGTCGGCAATGGACGCGATGAATATGTGGTGCAAGCCGCGTCGTGTAGACTATGTGGTGTAAGCTATGGTGGTGAACGCTATGCGGTGCAAGCTGTGCGGTATAAGCTGTCGCGCACTACGTAGTACGTAGAAGTTTGGGGGGGGGGAGCACGCTGTGCGGAGTACGCCATGGCGTGCAAGCTGTGCTGGGCAAGCCACGCAGTGCAAGCTCTGTGGTGCAGGCTATGTGGTGCAAGCCCAGGGCAGGGGGCGCCCACACGCGCCAACGAGGCTGCACCAGCGGCAACAGGGCGCAGCCTCGGCGGACCCACCCAGCGGTCGGGGCGCCCACGAGCGCACACGAGGCGGCAGCGTGGCACCACCTCGGCAGACCCATCCAGCGCACGGGGCGCCCACGAGGCGGCACGAGCGGCAGCGTGGCGCAGCCTCGGCGATCCCACCCAGCGCACGGGGCGCCCACGAGCGTCCACGAGGCGGCACGGGGCCGCAACGTGGAGCATCCTCGGCGGCCCCGCCCAATTGCTTAAGCGAGGTGTTCGCCAGCTTGGACACCAAACAGTGCGTTACTGCACTGTGGAGGTGAAAGCAGTGCAATGCCAGCTATGCAGTGAAATCAATGTCGTGTAAGCTATGGGGTGTGAGCCGTGGAGCTGAAACTTATCAGGTACAAGCTATGTGGTGCAAGCGATGTCGTGTGAGCTATGCGGTGCGAACTAAGGGTTCAGGGTGTGGAGTGCATGATATGACATGCAAGCTCGGTTATGCAAACTATGGGGTGTAAGCTGTGTGGCGCAAGCTGTATGGTGTAAGCTATGTGGTGCAAGCTATGTCGTACAAGCTCTGAGCATGGGGTGCCCACGGGGCGCCCACCACGAGGCACGGGCGGCAACGCGGCGCAACCACGGGCGACCCACCCAAGGAATGGGGCGCCGGCGAGGCGGCACGGGCGGCAACGTAGCGTACCCTCGGGACGCCCCTCCAGCGCATGGGGCACCCACGAGGCGGCACGGGCGGCAACGTGGCGCACCCTCAGGAAACCCACCCAACGGACGGGGCGCACACGAGGCGCCCACGAGGCGGCATGGGCAGCAATGTGGCGAAAAGCCGACAAACCCATCTGATGACTGAAGGCACCGAAGTAGGAGCCCCATACGTGCAGACACTTGTTTGGGTATGACATCGGAATGCAAGTCTACATGCACATCGGAGTGAAAGTCGTAGCGCGCACAACAAATGCAATCGAAAGGCAACCGACTGGCGATCGACATGTAAAAGACTACATGCAACTCAGGCTGGCAATCGTCATGCGAGTCCAGTTTCTATCGAAACGTAACTCGCAATAGAAATCGACATGTACGAAGTCCCCAGTGCCCCCACATAGGTGTTCGAGAGGCCCCTCCAAGAAAAATGTCAGACAATAATAAGCAAACCCAAGCACCTTCCAAACCGACCGTAGACATGCTCCAAACCATAACCAATACTTGTTCTTACGTGTTGACTTGGTTTTCAACACGGGGGGCCATCGCTGGGCGGGAGAAAGACCAAATGGTAGAGGAAACGGGAGGCGTTGATTTTAGGCACACGCGCTCGGTAAACCGCAGACGGCACACACACTGCACTGAATGCGATAGACTAAAGCCAGCGCTTCAAACGACAAACACAGCCTCTTCGTCGCCACTTCCAGAGCAGCATGCTTTGCAAGGGAAGGTCTTGCCTTGGTTGAAGAAGCCTTTGTTCTCCAAAGCAACCGAACCCTTGTTGTACCATTCCTCGAGGGCGGCACTTGATGTCATTCGGTCAACAATGGGTCCATTCCAACTCCCGCAGTGGTGAGAGCACGACTCAAGAAATATTCCATGTTGGGGCTGCGACAAGAGCTGCGACTTCACAAGTGCGGTGAGATTCTTGCCAAAGTCGTTCATGTCAACTCCTTCGCCTGCCACGTTGCCTTGCTGCCAAGTGTCATACTCACTTTGGAGAGGGAATGTTGGGGTCAAGATGTGTGCACTGGACCACTGTGCAAATATGCACTTCTCAGGATCACCAGTGGACTTGTGTGCAGCGACACATGCAGCGTTGAGTCCTTCAGCCGAGGATTCCTGAAATTTGAAAACGTTGCGCATGTTTGAGCCGTACTTGGGGCTGTGGTCGTCGTCAAGGAAAAACCCAGAATCTGGCATGCAAGCCACTTTCGCAGAACCGTTGGTGGCCAATCCGATACCCTTAGCCCAATGGTCGCAGTGCAAGAACGTCGCCAAGCCGCCTGCGGAACAACCAGATACTATAACATCTGTCGCCTCTTTCATGCCGCGCTGATAGAGTAAGTCTTCGATCTCTGCATCCAGTATGGCACGCCCACGAAAAAATAGGGTGGAGTTGTCTACAACTGTTGGTGTGAGCTTGTCGCCACTCAGGGAGGCACCATCGCAGTAGCGTATATAGACAGCGTTCCAATTGTACATGAGCGGATTCTGTTTCTGATCAACACTGAAATAACCACCATCGATGCTCATGTTTGGCTTGTCGTCTTTGGTTGATCCCAAGCGGCCTGTGGCCCTAGAAACGCACGACTTGAGGTCATAGCACCAACCACCCCCCTGTTGCCAGATGTACCATTTGTTAACACCGGTGCCAGTGCCTTTGCGCCAGTAGTATAGCGCAGGCGAGCCGTCCAAGCATTTGGCATTTGTGGGTGCGTCAGCAGCTTCCTTCAAGAAGTAACCTTGAGCAAAGGTAGGGTCGTCACCGGTAACCTCAACCGTTGCACTGTAACATGCTCCGTCATCGAGTTGGTCATGATCCTTCCCGTAATAATGTTCCACCAATGTCTTCTCACACGCAGCCGACGTCGCAGCAGAGAGGTTTACAAGGACAGCAAGCAGGAGGATACGCATTGCTACAGGGAGGAGTAATTGGCGAAATGTGGAACTGCAAGCGCAGGGGTGCACTCTGAGCAGATCTTGAACCGCGACGGCTGCAGAGGGAGACGGACGATGATGATGGTGACGAAGCGCTCTCAAAATGTGTCCGACAACATGCAGCGGGAGGAAGCTGGCAACTCTGCGCCGTGCCCCCCTGCACGGGATGGTCTTTGTCTACACACTGGATGGTTCACTACACAGCTCGCGAGTCTGCTTACTGACTGGATTACTTCAAAGGCGTTTCGCGCACACGCTTGCAGATCGAATTGCCTCGTGAGCCGTTTCGCGAAAACCGCACTCGCGTTGCTGACACTCCTCACTTCTTAACGAAGCCTTCCAAACATTAGCTTACGGATCGAGATGCTTCAAGCGTCGCTTCGCGAACACGCGTTCGACCAGGAACTCAGGGCTTAGCGTGTCGCGCCGCAGGCTCTGGCCCGCCGCGCTTCGGCGCAACACGCTGACCCTTTTCCCGGCCCCCAAGCGTCCACGTCCCGAACCCTTCCCAGCCCCCGCCCTGCGTAGGAAGGCACGAACTATACACCAACACCGATCCTGGCCAGGATCACCCTGGGCCCAGGATCGGTGTATACGCCCTCCTGCCTTGCGCAAGAAGGCATATACACCGATCCTGGGCCCAGGGTGATCCTGGGCCAGGATCGGTGTTAGTGTATAGTTGGTGCCCTCCGACTGCGGAGCAGGGCTGCATGCGGGCGACGTGCTGTCCGCTCGCAGGGTATAGCGTTTCGCCAGGGCCGCAGCCGCGACGCGCTAGGCAGAAGTTCCTGACCGTACGCATCGAACCACGGACTAGAACTAACGTGCGCGCCCAAGTTCTAGCTAGCTTGGGCGCCAGGGAAACAGCGAGTCAACTTGGGGCCTTTGAAAACGCTATAGGGTCTCGCGAGTCGAAAACATGTGTCCCCGAATTCGCCGGAAACTAACGTAGAACAGGAGGGAGTAGAAGAAGGACACGTAAATCGGGATATGAATGATGAGCACGTGGAGGTAGAAAGGTGCAGAAACACGAGGAGGGGAGGGTGCGTAGAAGAGGTATAGGGAGGAGCAGGAGGAACCTCATCGGAGGCGCATGCGGCGACTCACAACCGCCCCCTGCCTTTGAGATACGTCTATGCGCCGAATTGTTGGCCGATGATCGATACACAAATACCTCGCCCGTGGTTTCATTCGAATGCCCCTGTTGGGCAGTACTGGGGCTGTCTTGGAGTTATTCGAAAAACCCTCTTTGGCTTTCTTCGTCGCACCCTGCGTCGCCCTTGCACCTCTCTGGGCCCCCTCGAGGCCGTCTCCGCGGTCTCTATGGGCTATCAAAGAGCTCTCTTGAAACTCTCCTGGGCCGTCCTGGGACCACCTTGGGGCGGTTGGGGACCCTGTTGGGCAACCTTGAGGCCCTCTCAAGGTATCCGTATGGAGATCCACGCGGCCCTTCGAGGACGCGGCGATCTTCAGAGGCTTTTGCGTCGCCCTGGACGCTCGGAAGCCCGAACATATCATACGCTAGAACTTCCAAGCACTGCATGAGCATGAACGATTTGGGTTGTGCCTCTCCAGAGCCTCTTGGGAACTCTTGTGGACCGCTCTTGCATCAGGAACCGTCTTGAGATCATCTTTTTTGTGATATATGCACCAGCGGTCAACCTTTATCCCATCAGAAATTGAACACAAATTGAACACTCAGCGGCCGCCATGCTGACAGAGCCCTGTCAATGCGGTGCCTCACATGTGCAACTTGGCATGGGAAAAAAACAGCTGTCCGCAAACGCACGACCTGGCCTCGGCACAGATACCCGAATCGAAAAGACAAAATTGGTAAGCCCCAAGGGAGAAACTAGAGCTATAGTTTGATCCACTGGAAAGCGAGAATCAGCGTGTGCGGGTTGAGAGGTTAGCAGCGCTTGACAGCATGGCTGGCATGCCGCCTTACTTTGGAGAGGATAAGCCCAACTTGCAGCGACGGCGAATCAAGCATGTTCAAAGTGAGAGCTGCAGAAGTGGTCGCTCAACAGCAATACTACTGCTTGACTGCAAGGCCTCGCAAGAGAAGTCATTCGGATGTCAGCACACGGGGCGCAGTCGAGTCAAGATGGTCATGGTACTGTGACGCTACGCGGCATTCTCTGCGTCGACATCATCTCGAACCACCAAAACGCTGGCCACATCCAAGGCACATCTTGCCACTATGCCCACGCGAACGTCATCGAAAAATCCTGGTGTCCAAGACTCCGCATCGATGAGGCCGACACATGATCCACTTGCGCCAAGAATCGGCATGCAACATTCAGCACGCACTTTGCTGCATCATTCATAATAGGGCTGCCCCTGTTTTAGCACACTAGTGTCTCCAACAATAGTCGCACGACGCTGCATTGCGCAAGTGGAATTGTTAGACCCCTTGGCGAACTCATCGGTCAATGGAAAAATCCCGCGGCTAACAGAACCCCTGTAAGCCTCCTTCAAAAGGCACTGGGAATGCAGTCCATCGACCACCCGGTAGATGCCGACCCAGTCGGCCCCGTCCCCAAGCGCACTGGCGAGCCGCTCGACGATGCGATTCAAGCGCCAGAGGCGCTGAGTGGCGGCACAGCAAGGCTGCCCTAGAGCTGCAACATCCCAAGGCACGCCGAGCCAGTCCGAGAGGTTCAGGTCCCGCGCCTCACCGGGCTGGTGGTAGACATAGAGCGCCTCGATATCGGCCTCTGCGAGCACCTCTGTGAAGGCTTCGCGTGCGTCGACGACAGTAGCTGCGCGTTCCGCCTCCTCCACCTGCGAGCTACTGAGACCTAAGATCCCGAGAAGGCTGCCAGAATCCATGCGAAGTGATGCTTTACAGAGTTTGAGCCGAACAGCTTGAGCCGAAATGGCTTGAGCCAAAATGGCAACGGAATCCGTCTTGAGGCCACCTTAAGCGGCCGTCGGTCGCTCTTGCTGCACGTGGACGTGATCTTAGGGCAACACGCCGTGGGATTGACTCCCACACCACCGTTTGACGTCGAGGTCTGGGACCGGGCGCCCCAGGCCCTGGTCCACATGCATTAGATGCATACCACCAGAAACAAATGGTCAACGTGTCGCGGCAGCGGCCGCTGCTACACGCTACGCATTGCAACTCTGCTTGGTGGGGCGGGAGGCCTGGAAAAGCTCGGAACGTCTCAGCATGTCGCGCCAAGGCCCGCTGGGCCAGAAGCTGCGCGGCAACGGCTTATTGGGAAAACGTTCCTGCAGGGTAGCGCGAGAAGACCCCCAGCCCCACCTGGCCCACCTCTCCCAAAAGGGAGGGGGAGCCAGGTCGGGGGGGGCATACTTGCAGTGCCAATTTTGAGAGACGTCCTGACAGTCGGGAGCCGAAGATCTTTGGCCTGGCAGCAGAAATGGGGAGGAGGCCCAGGTGGAGGTGGGGGTGCGCTTTCTTGCCCGACATCTGGCGATGTGCTTCTTGGAATGCGCGGCCCAAGGAGGTCCCGACCTTCCCCCGGGGGTAGTTTTGCGCCCTGGATCAATTCTTGATGGCCCCGGGGCTCGATCACAGTTCCCGAGACGCCGAAACCGAGGAGAAACGCCGGAACCGAGACAAACGAACATAGCGTCGGAGATCTGAGCACAGCGCTGCGCCTGGCTGGCCGGACCTCGCGGCCTGCCGGAGGCAGAAGGAGGAGGAAAAGCTATTGTCCCGCCGCCTGGAGGGCTCGAGGCGGAGGAACCACTTCGATATACTTGTCGCAAAGCAGCAATCCAGTTGCTAATTCACAACTCCTCAGACAAGCGAAGTCTTGTTTTTCAGTACGGAATCCCCGAAGGTCTAGACCCCTTCCCCAAGACTGGCTTCTCATTCAGAGTCGTGGCTTGACGCTCCTGGGGCCCAGCGAGGGCCCCCATAGGCCGAAAACAAGCAAAAACACATCCGTCGTGATTGTTTCCCGACGCGAACATGTCTGGGCCCGTCGAGGCCGGCGCTGGGAAAAAGAGAGCGGCGGGGAGCAGCAGAGGGAGAGGGAAGGGCCGCCGTGTTCGCGCTTCGCGCTGCGCGGTGTGCGAATCGCGCGCGCGCCGCCCTCCCCGGGAAGAAGAGGCGGGCGAGGAGGATGAGGATGAGAAATTTGAGGAAGAAATAAGGGCATTGAAATTGGAAGTAGAAGAAGAAGAAGAAGAATAATACGAATAAAAATAAATTACCCAGGGACGTACCCAGCCTTTTGTACACAAGAGGCGAGTATACATCGAACCACGCAATACAAAAGCGAGCACTGAAGGATCCGCCGGGCCCTTGAACGATTCGCCAAATAATGTCTGACCAGAGTCACATGTTCAAATCTGCGGCGTCGCTCTTAAGAGTCAGATCGTTGACAGGAAGGCGGCCACGACGGAGTGCGGAAACACAAAACGGAGAGACGATTGGAGACATAATTCGTGGGAGCAGCACCGCTGGAACCCCCAACGTCGCAACCCAGCTCCCAAGAGGACGGCGAGGTTGCATAGAGATCTGCGTAAGACGCGCCTCCGCTGGGCCTCCCAGGAGCCAACGAAAGCAGCGACAGTTTCGCAGATCGCAGCCCCCTAGGGGACGGCGAGGTCTCATGGTGATCTGCGTAAGACGCACCTCTGGGGTTCCCAGGAGCCCGCGAAAGCGGCGACGGTTTCCAGATCGCAACTCCCCGGGGGACGGCGGGTCTCATGGTGATCTGCGCAAGACGCACCTCCGCAAGGGGCTCCCAGGACTCCCCCGAAAGTGGCGACAGTTTCGCAGATCGCAGCCCCCAAGGGGACGGCGAGGTCTCATGGTGATCTGCGTAAGAGACACCTCCGCTGGGCCTCCCAGGAGCCCACGACGGAAGTGCCGATAGTTTCGCAGACCGCAGCCCCCCCCAGGGGACGGCGAGGAGGTCTCGTGGTGATCCGCGTACGACGCACCTCCGATGGGGCCGCTGGGGCTCCCAATGGTGTCAGTTTCGCAGATCGCAGCCCCTCAAGGTTCTCGTGGCGATCTGCGTAAGACGCACCTCCGCTGAGCCTCCCAGGAGCCCACAAAAGCTGTGTCATATTCGCATATCGCAGCCCTCCAGGGGACGGCGAAGTCTCGAGGTGGTCTGCGTAAGACGCACCTCTGCTGGGGCTCTCAGGAGTCCACGAAAGTTGTGACAGTTTCGGAGATCGCAGCCCGCCAGGAGACGGCGAAGTCTCGTGGTGGTCTGCGTAAGACGCACCTCTGCTGGGGCTCTCAGGAGCCCACGAAAGTTGTGACAGTTTCGGAGATCGCAGCCCGCCAGGAGACGGCGAGGTCTCGTGGTGATCTGCGTAAGACGCACTTCAGCTGGGGCTCCCAGGAGCCCAAGAAAGTGGCGACTGTTTTGCAGATCGCAGTCCCCCAGGGGACGGCGAGGCCCCCTGGTGATCTGCGTACGACGCATCTCCGCCGGGGGCCCCGGGAGCTCACGAAAGTGGCGACAGCTTCGCAGCCCGGGGGACGGCGAGGTCGCATGGTGATCTGCGTAATACGCACCTCCGCTGGGCCTCCCAGGAGCCCACGAAAGTGGCGACGGTTTCGCAGATCGCAGCCCCCAGGGAACGGCGAGGTCTCATGGTGATCTGCGTAAGGCGCACATCCGCTGGGGCCCCCAGGAGCCCACGAAAATGGCGACATGTTCACAGATCGCAGCCCCGCAAGGGACGACAAGATCTCGCGGTGATCTGCGAAAGACGCACCTCTGCTGGGTCTTCCAGGAGCTCACGAAAATGGCGACGGTTTCGCAGATCGCAGCCACCCAAGGGACGGCGAGCCCCCTGGTGATCTGCGTAAAACAAATCTCCGCTGGGGCTCCCAGGAGCCCACGAAAGTGGCGACGGTTTCACAGATCGCAGCCCCCCAGGGGACGGCGAGGTCTCGCGGTGATCTGCGTAAGACGAACCTCCGCTGAGCCTTCCAGGAGATCACGGAAGTGGCGACAGTTTTGCAGATCGCAGCCACCCAGGGGACGGCGAGGTCTCATGGTCATCTGCGCAAGACGGACGCATCTCCACTGGGCCTCCCAGGAGCCCACGAAAATGGCGACGGTTTCGCAGACCGCAGCCCCCCAGGGGACGGCGAGGTCTCGTGGTGATCCGTGCAAGACGCACCTCCGCTGAGCCTCCCAGGAGCCCACAAAAGTGGCGACGGTTTCGCAGATCGCAGTCCCCCAGGGGACGGCGAGGTCTTGTGGTGATCTGCGTAAGACGCACCGTCGCTGGGCCTCCCAGGAGCCCACGAAAGTGGCGACGGTTTCGCAGATCGTAGCCCCCCACGTGACGGCGAGGCCTCATGGTGAGCTGCGTAAGACGGACGCACCTCCGCTGGACCTACCAGGAGACCACGGCACCTCCGCTGCGCAAGTGACGACACCCGATCGAGCCGCGGGCACGAGGCAGGATGCAGGCGGGAGGAGAGAGGGAGAGGACGGAGAAGGGAAGAGGCAGGAGGAGGAGAAGAAGAAGTGGAGGATGGGGCAGCCAGTGCTCTACTCCAAACGAGTACCCAACCAATGGAGAGTTGGGAATAACGGCATTGTCTTCTTCTAGGCTCAGGTGTTGAACAGATCTCCAAGGTGTTGAAACAACTTCCACGGGGGTGCCTGGTCGTCTTCGGCCTCCCGGTGCCCTCGCCAGGCCCCAGGACTTGTTAAATAACTACGCTCAGGATTAGGGAAACAGAAAAGTACTGATAGCGCTACTCCCCAGACCTCTTCCGGGATGCGTGCTAACCTCGAAGCGAATCCAGCGGTGGCGACGAGGGCCTCCTTCAAGGAGGCCCAAGAAGGGGAATACAGGGGAAGGGTAGCAGTATGACTGTTCGAAGAGACGTAAGACTCGGGTAGCGGGACTCGGGTTGGACCGACGGGGCCATCATGAAAATGACGCGAGCCAATCTGAAATTTGACCCGATCTACTGCTGCAGACATCCCACGGCAACTGGACCGTCAGAATTCAGGACGGGCTCAAGAAGCGTCGGCAAACTCGAGTTCCGGCGCACTCGAATCTTACGTTACGTTTCCCTGAACCTTTGCCTCCTCCGACGGATGCCGTTCTTGCCATCTCTCGGACATCCACCCCCCGTGTATTTTCCGGCTCCGTGCGCTTATCCATTCGAACAGGGATCCACGATGCTCCTCGATGGTCCTCGCCGACAAAAATAATGGACCAAACAATGACATAAACATGAAACCCGGGGGTCCGTGCGGATTCCTCGGATCGGCGCTGGGGCCCCCTGGCGGCGCCTCTGGCGCCGCCCCTGGCGCGCTCCGCGCGCCAAGGAAGGGGGTGCAGCGCCGTCCGAGAAATCCGCGTGGACCTCCGATGTTTATGTGTATGTCGTTGTTCAGCCTTGGAAAATGCACACGTCCGAGCGATTCCAAGCGTTTACTATGCTTCGAGGCCTGCGGGCCGCGAACAGCTTCGCACCCTCGCGGCGGCCCGTGCAGAGGGCGCCATAGCGGCCGCCGCAGGCCTCGGGGAGCGCGCTCAGCTCCGGCTCCGCGAAGAGGCCGTGGGCCTGCTGGGGGGAGGCCGTGGGCCCACCGTGCAGTTCTGTCCTCTCTCCTGCGTACTCC